AGGAAAGGACTCAAGGCTGAATGCAAGAACTCCCAAATTTTTGCCTCCAGGGAAGTATTAGGCTGTAGGGAAGACTGGCTGGACTCCTGCAGTAGAAGACGTGTTAAGTTATAGACAGGGTTAATTATTTCTGCCCTGGAAGCTTCACTGTCCCTTGTATAATGAAGGATTTTCATTCCTGTCCTCAGAAGTTCAGACAAGCTCTTGAAGGTTTTATTGTCAAAATTAAAGAAAAGATCTATAGATTTTAATTTAGTGACATTATAATTCAGCTGTAAGTCTTTTAATATGTACAAGGTCTTTTGGATGGCTTGGGTGACTAGTGAGATATTGGCTACTCCAGAGCTTTCCCCAAACTCTTTAAACACGGCTGTTATAAATTCTGACAGCTGATCCAACTGTTCACTGAAGACACCACTTGAATTATTATTCAGCTTTTGTAAATGGCTCTTTAATACCTCTAAGAACTGCCCGTAGGCGATGATGCCTGTGTTGTTCCACTTCATCGACCTCAGTTTCTCCCCGAGGCGCCAGTAGACATTCAGCTCATCCCACCAGGCTTCCCCCACGGAGCGCTCCACTTCCCGCATCACCTCAAACACAGGCAGCAGTAGGTACTGATAACCCACGTTCGTGCCTGTCATTACAAAAAACATCCTCTGCAGAGCTTGGAGCTGCTCTGGAAAGTTCTTGTAGGACACAGGCTTCAGCAGATCATCCAAAAACAAAGATGGTATTTCTTGCATTCCGTTTAAACGGTCTCTGAAGTCTTCTAGAAGTGATGGCATGCTTGTGGAGAGCAACATTTTGAGAGCATCCTTAGTTTGTAATGTACTAAAATTAGAATTGTTTAACAAATCTGGATTCCAAATAATTGTAGCTAATTTTAAAGCGCTCTGAATTTCTTTCCACTGGGTCATTATATCAAAGATGGAAGTCCCGTTAAAGTCACTCAGTAATTGCAATGACGTGAAGTTATAGATTTCATCAATTATTTCCTTATTATATGGTTCCTTTAATTTATAATCATGATGTGGATTCATTCCCAGTTCAAGAAATGCATACAATTTCTGTAATGTTTCATTCTTCAAATTTCTGAATAGATTTAAGGTTTTTAATTCACTTCTATTCATTTTTTCCTCAAAGCCTTTTAAACGATGTAGATGCTTTTGTATGGCTTCTAAATCATCTGAATTAATGGACCTCTTGGAGTCCTTTCTACCAATCTCTGGTGACTTTATTTTTCTGGAGGGGAACAAAGAAGTGTTTTAGTGAATATGAAATCAATGCAAGTGGAAATGTAAGATGATTTAGAGCAAAGATCATAGATTTGAATTACACTGTTAGTAATATCCCTTTAGCTAATGTCTTACCTTAGAACTTCCTCCAATTCAGACACTAAAGTCTGCTTGTCTTTCCAGTTAACAAAGGAATTACAAATGTATCTGGTCACCAAACTTTTTTCTTTATCTACAACAAAAATGTAAAGAGTATATTAGTAAAGACCACATAATTCTGGAACCTGGAAAGAGCTATACAGCAAATCTGTCAAGGATAACATGCACATGTGAAATTAGGCTCCTACCACAAGACACAATATCTGGGTTAGAAATTTGAGTGCTCTTTTGGGATGCAACTCTTCCTGGCTCTCTGAAGGAAGTGAAGGTGCTACCTGGCATCACAGAAATGATTTCCCATCTCAGGAACAATTCCACGCCCCTGTGATGTGGGTGCTAACAGAGCTCTCCTCCTGCTTTAGGAGCACTTTGCTATCAGTAATGCAGGATAAGGTGGCCAAGTACGGTTTCTTTCCCTTCATTTAGGGATGCTTTTAAACTCCTCACACATAAGCTTTGTCTGCAGCATCATTTATGTCCCCCACAGCCATTTACACTCATCTTGATATCCCCATGTGTCCAGCCCTCTCACTAACCCCATCTCCATGTTTTCCCTACTTGCACTCCATTAATCTTTCTTCTTACCCATCTCAACTTCCACAATCTCCATGAAACAAGTAGAGAATGGACAGTATTTCCTGATCTGTCTCTTGTAGCATTTAGATGCTGGACCTTTCCCTTGCCTGCTCACACACCCTCAGCTAGAGGGAGATGTCCAGGACTGCCTCTGCTCTAAGTGACAGGGATTTAGAGCAATGGCTAATCTGGATGTCAACAGCTTGTTGTGCAGCCCAGCCCCAGCCCCTGCCTCTATACAGAGGTGATTTTGACAGAATCCATAGCTAGAGGCAGAGTTTGACATCACACCTCAAAAAAGAAAATCAAAGTAAAAAACTACAGCTCTCTGCTTCTGCTGAGACTGCAAACTCATGTTAATTCATTGTCTCCTGACAAAACCAAGCTTTTTTACTTCCCTGTTTGAAATGAGGTATTTTATTCACACTTGCAAAAAGCTGAAAGAAGACTCCAGTGTGCTGAGCCCTGAACAGTGTGCAATCTGTGTGGTTACTTATTAGCCTGCAGTTTGCTTCTCCTCAGCACCACAGGTTTTCAGCAGAGATATGACTGTGGAGGAGCCTTACCTTGCTCCAAGCAGTTCACTGAATATGGAAGATCTGTAACCCCATTCTGAACAGTTTTGGATCTATCATCAGTCAAAAGCGATGCAGAGACATTCTGAGCTGCCAGCACAACACTAAAGGGGAAAAAACCCAGGAAAATAAATTGTAGTTACAGGTTTATGAGAAGAAATAAAACAAGTGTTCAAATAGGAAACAGCTGGAGTACAGCCTATCACTCTTAAAATGTCTGACAGACATTGCCCCTACTTCTAATTATTTGTTTGATCGTGCACAAAATACAAATACCAAGGGCTTTGATGGGAAAGCCAGAGAAGTGTATTAGCACAAACATATGTGTGGCACTCATTAGGGGTACTTATTTAGAGAGTTATGTAAAATCTATAGACCACTTAAATCCTCCCAGCAGGTCTCAGAAAACACCCAGGTGATGTGCCAGCCAGGTGATTCACTGCTGTGGGGGAATTTCCTCCTAAAAGACACCAAGAAACAAGTAGACAAGGCTCGAGGGAGAGCAAGGATTCCCAGGGGACAACATCTGTGGAAGGAAGAAGCAATCACAAATAACTACTACCATTGCCAATTCTCCTTCTTTCCTCTTCTGTACTTAAACAGCCAGGCTGCCAGGGAAGCAGGGAATATTTTTCAGTCTTAGGAAAGAACAAGCTGATAATCAGGCACATTGTGTCACAGAGGAAGTCATTTAAGGGACTGTCTGTTCAGGTGTGTGGGTAACTGAAAACTTCACAGTGATTATTAGTCCCTTTTGCTTCTCCTGCACAGTGAGCAGCTCTTCACTGCAGGCGTAGGGTCACCGTGAAATGCACAATCTCTCGCCTGCCTCAAGTTCTGCAGGTGATACACAGAGAACCTGGCTGAGCTGATTTCAGTGCCATGAATAAATACATCCTGATCGTTGGGAACAGACTGCTGGTGAGAACAGAGCACCAGGGATCTCTTTTCTCCTCATTTAACATAACATCTCCATGCAGGTTTCGTGAACTTGGTGCTCATCATTTTTGTTCTGCAAACGTGCTTGTTAGTGAGAGTCTTAGAGGGGAAGAAACTCAGTTATAAATGACATATTTAGTTGAGCAACGGCAGAGCTGAGGAGGAGGCAGGCACAGGCTTGCCAAAAGCAGAGGCACGTCACGTAGATCAGAAGGCAGCAAACATGGAAAGAAGTGTTGTTGTTGCCCTTTTATTTTAGTCTTGCAGGCCTTTTGCAGAATTTGTATTCAGAAAAAAAGTTCAGCTTACATACTTAGCTGAAAAACTATCTTAAAGCAACAAACAGGAGCACTTGTGAATTCAGTCTGCAAAACAGGTTTTTGTAGATAATAAAATTTGCTCCTAAACTTTGTATAGAATTCATGACTTGGAAGTTACTGTTTCACGGTGGTGGCGTTTATCATGTGGTTAATACAGATGCCACAATGAGCAAAAGTTCCTTTCTTCTATACCTTCATCTCCATACAGCAAAAAAATTCCCTGTACAGCACATCTTTAGAGGAGGTCAGTACTGCCTGAGTAAGAGACATGGCCAGGCTCGCTGAGATGTGCTTTTGTAAGCATTATTAAAAACACTATTTGTGCAATCTCTTTGCAATAACTCTTTACTCACACACTAACAGTGCCAGATGCCAGGTATAAAAGCACTGCACAGTTCTGGTGATGAAATTCTATGTATCTCTTTGTCATGCCTATGATAACTTTGCCCAGCTCTGCAGCTGTAGAGCAAAGCAGAGCAGCACAGTAAATATTAATTCTCCTTGGGCACTCAAACGGGGCTGGTTCTCAGGCTTCATTCTGCAACCCAGTAAAGGCAAATGCAATAATCCTGTGACTGAAACAGCAGCATGAACAAAACATTTCTGAATAAAATTAAAATTCTTGCCACACTGCTACTGACTCCTTTAAGGATAAGGACATTACAACTTACAAATAGGTCTCACAATGCAGCATGGCAAATTACCTAGATATTAAATGTGCAGGGTTTTAAGTGCCTTGGCAACACACCAGTCATGAAAAGTGAGTCCCTCTAAGCCTGGGTGTAATCGAAGTGGCAAAGCTTCTACAACCTCTTTTGGCATCTTTACCCAGCTGTTCATGTACGCAAGATAAAACCAAAAAGCTGCCTGAAGACACTCAGTTTCTTGCTGTCCTCCATGTGCTGTAACAACTGGACTATTCAGAATATTTTATAGCAAGGTCAGTCACGTATCCAGCAGATGATTTGGAACAGAGTCCCCTAATCTCTTGAGTAACTCGTCTTCCACAGATCAGTGAGAGGTTAGCCCAACTACAGATCAGGATAGGGATTTCAAGGCTAAGACCATTTTAGAAGAGTTTTTATTGTCCTGCATCAAATATTTAATCACAGTTCATTCCTGCAGTTAAGTCAGGTCTTTTTTTCATATAACCATTGAGCAAGTACATAACAGGCACTTTCTTCTTGAAGTCAGACAAACTCAAAGCCCTATATGCTAAAAAACCAGGCTCCCTCTCTTCTCTGCTTTCTTGGGACCAGTTTGGAAAGATTAAACCAGCAGTAAATCAGGAAATCCATTTTAAAAACCAAAATTACGCCTCCCCTACAAGAGCTTGAGGTGTTCCAAAGCGACTTGAATTTGGTTCCATGCTTTTCTGGAAAGAAGCAGCCAGCTGCTTTCCTTGTCCAGCCAGGAGGGCTTTTCTTCAGCCACAGGCAGTGGCTGAGGCTCACCAGCTTTTCTCTCTGCACAAGGGCATGACAGTGCCTCTAAGCAGGCTGGAAGAAAACTCAGAGTTTTCATTTCAGCTTCTATTTAAAAAGGGACACAAGAGTCATTGAGAATCAGCACACTGTTCACAGTCCACAGAGATGCATTAGTGTGGAGCCACATCATTTCCCAAACAAATCATGCTTTTAAACTAATACCCTCTTTTCAAGATGAGAGGTGATGTCCTTAGAGGCCAATACATAAACCCACCAACTTTCAGTGCCTCTCCTGGCATTTTCTCTATTTTACCTGCTTGGATTCTGAAGGAAACCAATTATGTCTCGCAGTTGCATGTTGTCCTGCAACACATCTGGGGCCAGCAAAAGGAGATGCCACAGGGAGGTGTCATTCTGCACTTGGGAGATGAGTGTCAGAAACGAGACCATTTCACTGACAAATGTCTCCTGGTACTGTGGGTTGTGCTGCACCTTAACAAATAACAATGCAAGAAATTATTTAAGAACAAGAACCCCTTGCTGTTGGTGGGTCCTTTTATGTTTTTCAGCTTGCACTGCACTTGCATACAAGTCTACAAACAATACATCCAAAGGACTCTAGTGACAGGCAATAACTGAGAGAGTGACTGTGCTTTACCTTCACACTCCAGATTGTACAATAAATTCTCTTTCAGACAAGCCTTACAATTCACAATGTCCTAAAGAGCCTAAAGACTAGGAATTCAAGAAAAATTAATATCAATCCTTACCTTGGGGAAAAAAAAAAAAAAAAGAAAGAAGGCATTACCTTTACAGGATTCATTTGCTTTAATTATATTGCTTTCCCAAAGACAAGTACTGCTTCAATCATGGATTGTTGGATCAGATGCAGGAGTTACTGGATGAAGTTATACAGCTGAGGTAATACACAATTAAATTTATTGCCCTCCCTAGCTTTAAATATTCTTATTTACACCTCATCCTCAGGCTGTTCTATCTACCTGTCAGTGCAGCAGGGCAAATGAAGAGGAGAAACAAGGTCCAGGCATGGTGATAACCCTCAGCGGGTGGATGATCCTTGGCTTTCCGAGCTGTGTACTCAACTTGGAGGTCTTTGGGCTAATCCTATCCCCAAGAATTAGCTCAGTCTCATCATGCACTGCGTGCACTCTGGTACAGAGATGAGCTCCTAGCCAGGAGGGACCCTGTTCTAGCTCCCAAACACTGCACAGTATGCATGAAGCACCACAGCTCCCAGCTGCATCACCAGGACAGGTCCCAGGCACTCACCTGAGAGAGCTGACTCCTGAACTCCTGGGCAAACGACTCCAAAAGTGACGAGTCAGTGAAGCAGAAGGTGTGGTGGATGTTGGCCGCCATCCTCTCTCCAGTGACACCGGGACGTGCCACATACCGCGACAAGACCTCACACAGCAGGACTTTGAGAGTGGCTGCAGTTGAATGTTGGGTCTGGCTCTGAGAGAAAGGCAAAATGTTCAAGGCAGCTGTAAAGAAACATTCTATTTGGGATGGTTTTAAATGCAGTGGGGAGACTTTTTTTAAGGGATAGTAGTGCCATCTGAAAAGCATTGTCATTACAAGCACTTACACACAGACAGGGTTCCAGCAGCTGAACAGTGTCACTAAAGTCCCTCAAACTCCTCATGTGGTATAAAGAGAAATGTGTGTGTTTGTATGCCTTAACACAAGAACATATGCATAGCAGCGTCCATTACGTTGTACCAAGTTTCCCTTACAAAGTAGTTGTTCCTATATATAACTTATACCTACAGAATGAACACACAGTTCCTCTGATGCCACTGAAAGAACTCATAATTGAAGGGAAAAGCCTGTGACATGGTATCTTTAATTTCCCCTGAAAAAACTCCACACTCTAAACACCTTAACTCAGACAAGTTATGAACAAAATATGTCAGGGTATTGTGTGTGTCCATATTTGGTATTTCATGGCATTATGTCCCAAAGGTGTATGGTTTACCTGGCTTCTGCTTAGAGGATAATAAACTTACCACAAAGCTTAAAAGTCCACCCACAATCACTACCTTCCCAAAATAAAGCACACTCACATAATAGGGGAGATCCAGAAGTAATAAAAGCTCTATGTTGGTACTTTGAGCTTCTAATTCTTTAAACACAATGATACATAAAGGTTCACACTCAGCTATTATGCAAATACAAACTCACCTTCCCAAAACTGAGGATTTTGTTGAACGTGTTGATGCTGGAAGTCAAGTTGGATGGTGATGAAATATTCCCAAAGGTTTTTTCTCCATGAGATCCCAAATCCTCAAATGCTGCAACAACAGTTTGAAACGCTGTATTTTACTTAATGTCTTTTAACCTCTTTGCTACGTCAAACCAGGACACAGTTCAGCCGTCTGCAGCTTTGGGCACCTCTGCATTGTTAATGTGTTCTCAAAGGTACAGCCAATGGCACCCTATTAGTGTTTAAGGGTTTTTTTTCTGATGTGATTAAATCCTGGATGACCTTGTTTCCTTCTGTAACGTGTTACATGGGGCCTGACCTATGATTTTTATTTATTTTTTTTTTTTAATAAGAGGTATAGCTGAGTTCCTCCTTGACCACCACCATGAGTCAATAGTTCCCAGAACTGTTCACTGATTTGCTTTTTCCCCCATGCCTCTGTGTTTGGTCCCTTCTGCATTCTGCCTTTTTCTGTCTGTGCACCACAGAGTGCGGGCATTGGCAGGAATGCTAATTGGAACAGTGAAGGGCTGGAGCAGAAGAAGCAAATGCAAATCTGTAATCATTCATTTCATCGTGAGCTCCCTGGAGAAAGGACTATCCATCACGATGGCTTGTGGACTGTACTAGCCATTACCATCCATAAATAATAATTGTAACGATTTTATGGAAAATTTCAGTCTGAAAGTTCCTTCAGGAAAGAGAATCACATCAGAGGAGAACATCACCAACAATAAATATGCACTGTGGCACAGAAGACAACTTATTTGCTGGATAACTGTGAATAAAAACACATTTGAAAAAAATCATAAGCTGTTTATGGCGAATTTGTGGGCAGTAAAAGGGTAATATTTCATAAATAGCCAGGTCTTTAATTAATGTCCAATCAATCTGTGATCTTGTATTGCTCCTGTGAAGTGCAACCATTTAATCCTGGTTTCTTGGCCAAGTTCCAAAAGTCTTTTCTACAGACAGTTACTTGCACTTATTCCCAAGAATTTGCACTAACGTCATGGCCACAGTCATGTGCCTGTGTAGAACACATAAATCATTTTAGCAGTGCTGTAAGAATTGCATCTCTGTCCAGAGAGCTTCAAAAGGTCAGTCTTCAAAGAGCAGAACCTTGTGGAGCAGTGAATAACCTACCCAGCGAAGCGTTCCTGCTTTTAGGAACCTCTGCACTCCATGCTGATGGATGGTTGTCCTTGGATACACTGGATGAGCTCCTCCTCTTACTGGGGAAAGAAAGAACAAAAGAAAGAAAAAAAGCCAGCTGTCACAACTCACAGTTTCTTATAATTAAGCTTACACTTTACTGCATTGCCTCAGAATGTGTCTGTAGCTGGATTTCATGGCAGGTGTGGTGAAATCTGCGTTGTGCAGAAGCCTGGTTCCTTCTAGAGGCCTGGCATGTATTTTGGGGAAGCAAAAGTGCAGAACTCCATTGCACTATAAGCTGCATGCCCTTACCAAGAAATCCTTCCAGACAATGGGATCTTAATTCATCCTTCCCAAACATTTCACTACAGGAGTAAAGAAAGGGTGGAAGAAATCGATGTTGAGTTTGGCTTTTGGACTTAGTTCCATTTTAGCAAGGGAAACCTCAAGCAACCATGTCTTGCACACCTTGGTAAACGGCTCTAAGGAACAGAATCAAAGACAAGAACCTTGCCCATCATCTCTGCTGACCACTGGTACAAAACAGTTTTAGGGCAAGTTTAATAAGAGCTTCAGTGAGTTGCACAATGGGAGAGGAGAAAAACAGCCTGGATTAGCTGAATATTACAAACTCTAGAATATTACACAATAATATATCCAGACAGTGAAGGGCCACAGCTGAAACACTTTGCCTTTGTGACAAACTCACCCAAGGTGATTCTGCTCCCGAGGCAGAGCTGCACCTATTCATCTGGAGCTTTCCCTTTCCCAGGTGACCTTTTCCCAAGGTTTTAGACTGCTGTATCCACCGGTTTTGCTGTGGCTACTTAACAGCTGGTGTTGTTCCTTGTAGAATACAATATATTTCTAAGGCTGACGTGACCTCCCAAGGGTGGCTGTGGCCACATGGCTGCAGTGATACTGCACACAGCCAACTTTGAGCATCAACAGTGGTCAAGATGTTTATTAATGACTCATCTGACTTAATCTATAGTTTGGCCAAATCCTTTGATTTTCAGTTGGCACGGAAAACCAGTTATTTCCTAAACAGCTTTTCAAAAACCAAAAACAGAAAGCAAGGAGGATTTGTAGCTATTGAAACCCATGGAAGACCTCCAGCTTTGGCTCTGGAAGCTCCCATTTCTTCATTTCAATACCCCAAATTAACCATTGTTTAGCATGCCCAGGGAAAAACAATGACACTGAGGGAAGAAGAGCTGTGAATTCAGGCATCCAGTCTCAGTGTGGCTTTGCCTTCCCCCTTTTCTTCTGCTGCACGACCTTGAATTTGATTAGGATTCACCTTGTGTAACTTCAGTCGCCACATCCTTAGTCATCCTTCTACCCAAAGAGAGATCCTGACCACTGACTTGGTCTGGAAAACGATGGCCCCTCTACTCTAAGGAGGACTCACCAACCCCAGGATCCCCCATCTTGCCTGGTGGCCTCTCTGGGAAGGCATGGGGCCCACCTTAGCTCTTCAGGTTCCCAAGCTCTGGTCAAGGGGGATTTTGAGGCTCTGACATAGCCACTACAGAGCAGCCTCTCACCAGAAAGCAAAGATGAGCAACCAGGGACGCTGTGAGATGCCCAGATTTTCAGCTCTCCATGAACCAGCCAGGCCTCAAAGTGGTGGCATGCTCCCCAGGGGTGTGTCAGAACCAGGCAGCCAAGATGTAGAAACAACCCTGGCTGGCAAGGCTCAAAGCAAATGCCACTTGGCTTCAAGCGGAACATCAATAGATTGAAATGCTTCCGCTGAACATTTCAATTTCAGCAAAATGATGTTCCAACAAAACATGCCCAGCCAGCTCCACACTGCAAACGTACATTGTGGGCAAAAATTGTGTCTTCATTTTCATCTGTTTCCCAACACATTTGATGGCCTGCAGAGAGGACACCCATTCTTACTGGCACCTGGAGGATCTGCTGGAAGAGCAGTCACTCCAGAACAAATATATCTCAGACTAGAGCTGTTGGGGAACATTTGCCACTTCCAGCCAAAGTGTCCTGAACCAATCACTAGGGTGGCAGATCAGTCTTACCCACTGACCTGACCCGCAGTCATGCACAAAAGTTGCTTTGCTCTGATCTGGGTGAGCAGAAGCATTTTTCTCAAGGAGTAAAATTCTCTTCAAGTATCAAGTGTGAATCGATGGACACATTACTGAGAGCTGTCCCTACTATGAACAGTTTTGAAGTGTCCATGCTGCAGCTCATATTCTCATTTCTAAGTGTCAGATATCTGTTATAACAGGTATTTGAGGTACATCTGTTGTGGACAAACTTGCACACACAGACACGCATGGTTGCTCCCTCCACCTCAAAGCAAGTCTTGCTTTACAGCTTCTAACACCCAGAAATATTCAGATTCCCTTACAGTCTGAGAGATGAGATGTCACTAAGTCTTGGCAGCAAATCTTCTGGTGTGTATGGTGTGCCTTTACACCTGGCATCTGAATCACACAGCACGGTTTGCAAGAATGGGAAGAAGCCTGCACTAGGAAGGTTTCGGGGTGCAAGATAACCTGGAGGAAGGAGAAAGAAAATGCCATTATTATGATGTGGACATGCATTTTTTTGCCATATGTTTCTATCAGGATGTGCTATTTCCCCTTCCTAAATCACAGGACAGATTCTCAGCTTCACTGAGGCTCTTTCACTCCACCTTGGCAGTCCCATCTGCCAAATCCCACTAGAAGTGCGTTCACAACACTGACAAAGCCATCATAAGCTATTTAATCACAGAATCATAAAATGGTTTGTGTTGGAAGAAACCCTAAAGATTACCTTGTTCCAAACCCCTTGCCATGAGCAGGGACACCTTACACTAGACCCACTTGCTCTGGGTCACAGTTAATAGGAAAAGAGTCAAACTATTTATTTATAAGACATATGTTAGTCCTGAAGCAATTGCAGTATTTCCCACCTCCACTTCAAAATCCAAGAAACAGGTAAGAAATTAAAAAAAAAAAAACAACCTAGGTTTAAGATATCCTAATTCTGCTTTTAAAGAATAAAATAAAATAGAAGCAGGCAGATGGTCAGAGTAACCTGAAGCACCCACAAGAGCCTGTTCTCCAGGGCTTGATTGGAACAGTTTCTATGCAATGCCACAATCTTCATTTCCAAGCCAGGTTGTTAAAACAAGGCTCTGTCTTGGCCTTCACCACAGGAAGGAGTAATGGATCCAGGCCCAACAAACCTCCCTTGCCTTTTATTCAGACCTGCCCTGGGAAGGGAGAGGAGCAATCTATCACCACCATCCCCCTGTGTCTCCTCCTGCCTCAGAGCAGCTCCAGCACCATCTGCACCACCTGGGATGCTGGGATGCTGGCAGCCAGTGCTCAGGGACGAGATGTATGTCCCTGTCTCCTGTTTCTCCAAACCCAGAGTGGACCTGAGCAATGAGAGACTTGAGTATTTGATGTGCCTCTTGCCCCGTGCTGCTCACTGCCAACCCACAGAGTTCACCGCCTGCTTTTCCCCACAGTGACAAACGCCCTAATAAATCTCCAAACTCTTTTGCTGGATCACAGCAACATATTATTTAAAATAATCATTTGGAAAATTACCTGGCAAAGGACATTGCTATTATTTCTGCCCTGGAAAGCAGCCAGATTTACTGAAGGCCTGCAGGCAGGCCTGTGGTAATTGATTACTTGCTCTTTAGACTTCAAAGATGACCTGTGACTCTCACCCAAGCACGGTTTTACCTCTCACCCCTCCAACAAGGACACATGCAGCACATGTATTTGTACTAAATTTATTCGTGATCGCACTGGGCAAACCCCAGATGTTCCCACAGGGAAGGCAGTGCTAGGTGGAGTCCACGGCTGCCGATCTCCTTGATGAAGACTGGGCTTCCCTGAGCTTCCCTCAGTGCAGCTGATCACAGCCCATGAGTGTGCACTGCATTTTTGGGGGCAAAATGCAAAGGCACGGGTTTAGCACAGGAGTTCCCACTACTTTGGCAAGACAGTAACTGGCATAGATGACTGTTGAGAACTGAGAGGTAAAGTACCCACTTGGATGGTGTCGTGATTTTCTTGTACACATCAGCAGAGAGCCGGCCTAGAAAATTAGAGGACATAGATCCCCAGCCAGAGGAGAAGGGTACCTGGCTGGGAAGCTCCCCAGCACTCACTGTACCCCTCAAGCCAGCTCAGGAGTTACATCCCAGGCTGAACCAGCTCCCCATAATCACAGAATACCAAGGAGAGTAAAAGATTTCTCTTATCCCTACAGGCAGACCTTCTGGTGTTGGGGCCACAGGACCAAGCATCTACCACTCTGAAGGTTTTGAAGTATAATTAATCTGCTGCCCATGAGGGAAACTTTAGAGTAGGACACTTTAATCTGGGAGCATCCTTGTGTGAAGATCCCTGCTGTGTCTGTGATGTTTGCCCTTGGGATCACCAATTACAACCCTGCAGAATGGCATTTTGCACACACGGGCAGTTTTCTCTCATCTTCCTTCTGATCTCCCACACCCTCATTCCATGCAGGGAACTGACTCGCACACCAGTCCAAAAATGCACACCACAGACCTCACTTTATCAGTGTCCCAACCAAAATGAAGCTTCAAAGATGTGGGAAGCCACGAGGTTCAGGATGGAGAGTGTGCCCACGATGATGTAAGACAAGTAGGAGGTGGGAGGGAAGCAGCTGCACCTTTCATATGCCCCAACAACAACCAGGGCCAGAACTAAGCTCATGTCTCTTAGCAGACCTGGAGCAGCCGAAGCTGTGTAACTCCTGGGGAACAGCAGAGTAGGGACACAGGGATGGGGCTGGGAGCTTGGTCTTCTCCAGAGCCATGCAAGCTGTTTACAGGGATGATTATATAAGAGGTCCTGATGAATCCAGAGCAGAGGAAGACACTTCCTTGAGGTACAAGTAGCAATAACAAATGCTAAAACTGGATTGAAAAGTGGCACACTTTGAACGAGGTGGGCAATTAAACAATCAGCTGCGCAATCACAAGCGAGGTGCTCAGTGTAAGAACACAGTGATGATATCAGCTCTTTCTTGTCTTTTTGAAACAGCAGCCTGGAATATAGAGGGTCAGGAATTTGTGGCCTGAAGTTTGGAAGAGCTGCTGCTTGTGGTGGGGGCACAACATCTCTGAAGACATCATTAGTCCCTGCAACTGAGGTACCCAGTGAGGCTCTGCCAACCTGCAGCAGATGCTGAGCAGTTTGCTGGCAGCTGGATCCAGCCACAGGGCCTGATCCACCCCTGAGTCACTGCAGGCCTGAACCAGGGTAACCCCACCATGCTCTTGGCACAAAGACAGTGGCAATGCCAGAGAACTCTTCTGGAAGAGTCTTCTGGGCTTGGACAGCAGTTAGAGAATTAAGGAAGTTTTTCACAGAAAAATCTGAAATGCCTGTGCCAGATTTCCATTTGGTGTAAGTCAGACCTGTTCTGGTTCTCAGCCCTGAGTATCCAACCGTGCTCCATATCAAGCACACAAACAGCACACAGGCTCACCCAGCAGGATGAAATGAATGGCTGTGTTGGCTCTGCTGCCTGCACTGATGAGACCTCCACTGACTCCAAAGAGAGTTTACAGACCCAGTTTGGATGCAGCATCCCTTCCACAGACACGTACCACTGGGAGATAGATCCCACCCTTCCTTCCTCACAGGGCAGCCACTGCTGAAGGACCCACACCACGCACACTGCCTTCTTTATGCACTGATCGAGGCAGGAATAGGGTGGCCAGGCTGGTGACAGGTCTATCACTCCCAGATAACAAGCTGTCAACCTCACCACCACCAGAACCACCAAGCCCCTCTGTTCACACTGCCTTGAAGATCATGTCCTTCAGGGGCCACAGAGGCCAACAGCTTAGTTTAACACAAGCTGAGAAGTGCAGCCATGGGAAGTTCAGCTTCTGCCTGTGCTGCCTCTGGCCCATGTGCCTGAGATCAGAGCAGGGCCAGAGCATAAGGCACCATGGCAGGAAACGTGCCTGATTTGGGAGTCCAAGCCCTAGACAAACAAGGCATAACCTCAGAGCTCTTTCCTGTAACTCCCTTTCATCCTGCAAATGAAAGAATTTACTGATGAGAAGAAGATGAGTCAAGAAGATTAATGTGCTCCCTGCTCCATCCTCCCACTCTCCATCTCCCCGTGCTCGTGGTGAGGAGACGTGACTCCAGGGAGCCACACGGGCTGTCCTGCCCACACATCGAGGTTCATTGTTGGCCCTGTAACCACTGCAAGGATGGCCTGGGATGCAGATTGCTCCTGACTCCCTCCAGTGCTCCAGGAGACAGGTGTACATAACAACCTGTCCCTGCCTTGGTGACATTTCTCCACCACACCAGTGACATCAGTACTCAGCATAAGCACCGGTCATGGGACGTTACAGAAGCAAAGTTGTAAACACTCTGCACGTTTTAAAGGACAGTCTTTGGATGACTAGTGACAATTTTTCTCACTCTCCCCAACGCCTTTAGTTCTAAACCTACTAATTTCCTAAAACTACAGTTTGGAGGGTTCCACTGCACTGCCTATGAGTCAAGAGGGAGAGATCACTGCACTCACTGAAGCCCCATGTTGAGCTGAGAGGTCACATTTCTGGTCAAATTGACTTGTCTGCAACCAAAATTCAAGTCCAGATCTGTATCCTGCCAGTAAAGCCTGACTTCTGGGTCTGCCAGCAGCAGAATCTCAAACATAGAGCCTTCTGCTGTCCCCTCTGACTGAGAGCTTTGATTTTCTATTCCCACTGAAAGAAAGGCCCCAAAACTGAAGCAAAGACAGGCATCCCAAAGGGCAGACAAGGCCAAGGGCTCAGGGCTGCATGGGCTGGCTGGTTCTCCCTGTTCAGTAGCATCTAACCAGGCCAGTCCCATCTCCAAGAGCTGGAAAGAAATAAGGCATGCAGAGCAGTAATAATAAACAGAAGAAACCCTTAATATATGCATGCCCCTGGAAATCCTGGCATTTCCCCATTTGCTCTCATTCAGAGTAAAACGAAGCAAATTAATTTCTCCTCCCTTCCTGAATGCTGTAAATTCCAGCACACTTCCCTTCAACACGAGCAATTTTGTTTTCTCCAGGTAAAGGCGCTTGGTATAACAACAATGAAAAATGTCAGGGTAGCAATAAATGTCACACAAGAAGGATGGAAATGACTACTGCACTCTGATCTCCGAGATTAATTGAAATGGGCCAAAATGCTTAAATCTGAATGGACCATGTTTCACGTTGCCACATTGATTTTCCTGCTCTCAGCACACTGATGTTTCAGGAATTTGCATGAGCTGAGCCCAAGCATTTGCTGATCCAAACAGAACTGGGCATTTCAGTGGATTGCAGGCACAGCACTACAAACACGCAGCCCCCAGCTGAGGTTTTCTGTTCAGTATCCACCCATAGTTTAGTGTTGTGTCACCACCACTCCTTGGGCATGAAAAAACTCCCTAGGCTTCAGAATTCACATACTCTGACACTGCACATACCTTATGCTCTAAGTTCTTTCATATTCCTTCCATAGTTCATAAAAAATCCA